CCCCCGACTCCTGCCACCTCAAAAATAATGAGTGCATGATGCCCCTGAGATGCAGTATGTTTAAATACGTTTAAAAGCATTTTGAACAGTGTTCAAATACACACAGCATGTTTAAATATTTATTATTTATAATGTTTAACTACATTATAAAGTGATTAAGTAATTCTGTTGTTATTGCCCGGGGGGTGGGGGGGATTACAGAACAAACGCTGACCTTACAGTATGTGACAACATGCCCCAATAGCATGGTATATTGTCATAGTAATTTGTCACAATGGGAACCTGCCAAAAAATTGAACATCCAACAACAACAAAAAAGTGTTCAACTGAAATTAATAATAATAATAATAATAATCATGCATTTTTAATAATTTAAAAATAAAATCAGATTGTTCGTTGCATATCAAAACAACACTTTCCTGCATTTTTATTATAAAACAACTCTAAACTATAATTTAATTGATTACGTCATTGTTTTGAAAGCCTCCACTTATACTTGTCTATAACAGTGCTTGTTATTCTCAGGGAAATGTGTCTGGGATTGAGTGAGCGTATGCAATACAGCAGCAGCAGCAGTGACTGTGGAGAAACAGGGTGAGCATGAGGAGAAGGAAGACATGCTCACTGACAATAGGAGTCTGAGACTGGTCACAGCAATGCAATGTATAGAGACCTATAGCAACACTTGTTTCTATAAAAATATAAATAAAAAATAAATATTCATGAAAAAGGTAAGCATTGTGCGCTGTACAGCTGCAAGAAAGTGGGCAAAAAGAGAATTCATCTGCAAACTGTTGGCACTGTTTGGCACTTTCTCTTTGGTGTAGGTAGAAAAATCACTTGTCGCTAAAATCTTATCGAGTCACGTCTGGTTAAGACAAGTATTATATAATTATTTCTTGGCATGAAAGATCAGTGTGTACTTAAGGCTAGACAGCTGATACATTGCCAGATCTCTGTGCAAATAGATCGAGGGTCTTTATGAGCAACGCAAATGCAAATAGCACATTATGCTCAATCAGAATTGCATTATAAAAATTAGCATTGCACCTGATGTGTTTGTAAATGCTTGTATTAGACATGAAGCTCCCTCATACAAAAAAACTGTCTTCATGAATTGGGTTCAGAAAGTTCAGATATGGGTGTACAAAATGTGCTGTGAAATATTTGAAGCACGACAGAGAGGGCAACACAGGACAAGAACTAACGAGATGTCAGAGCCGAGTCTGTACATGTGCTGCATGAAAGAGTAAATCACAGTGAATCTGACAAATACTAGAGGGAAAAGGTGACAGAGAAAGAGACAGAAGGACAGAAAGAGAGGAGGAGGTCATTTGTTCAGACTCACAGTGGAGAAGTTGTGAGCTCCACAGGGCTCTCCGCGGTACTTGCAGGCCAGTAGCATATCCTCCAGCTGGTGGCCCAGTCGGTCCATGAACTCCAAGCTGGTGCCCTCGAAGCGCCGTGGAGGCAGGAAAAGACGGAAATCTGACAGCTTGCTAAACCATGCCTGTCTGTCATCTTGAAGCAGGTCCAGCACCAGGGGTCTGGCCGTGCGGTTGGCCAGCAACAGTCCGAGCCAGTGACCCGCGAAGTACAGATCGCTCTTAGTGAGGTGATACAAACGTACGGGGTTATTGTTGCAGATGGTGACCGTGGGAAAAGTCAGTTCTCTCGCCCACTCTGTATGGACTCTTGTGTGAGTGGGGAAGGCCAGCCAGTGAAGCAGCCGATTCGAGGACCAGGACAACAGAAGACCCAGACAAGTACAGAAGGCTAGCATCCAAAAGACCCGGCGGCTGAGAGAGTTTGACGGAGAGCAGATGTGCCGCAATCCGTGGAGGTGAGCCCGCGCTAGGAGGTGGGACAGATCATCTCGTGGTGCTCCGGGTCGGGCGTGGCGACGGCGGGCCCTGCGTTGGCCCGGTGTGGGCGAGGCAGGGCGCAGACAGCGGCCTTCCAGAGCCATGAGGGCCCACAGAGCTGCTAGAGCAGCAGGGGGGACGGCTTCATCTCCCAGCCAGGCCTCCACGGCCGGGGCCCTCATGGGGCTCCAGGAGCACAGAGAGAGCCACAACACTGACTTCCTGAATACAAATCTAACATTCAGAGTCCAGCTGTCGAGTCACATACTGTTGTAGCACCTGCAGGACTCCTCAAAGTTTAATTGAAGCATACAACCCCAACTCTACTTCGACTTCCACTTTAATATCCTGTCAAATGTATGCAAACTTAATTTCTGGATTGAATAATCACATTCATGCACAAACACACTGCTCCCTAAGGCACCCAAAATCCAGTATGTGTCTTCATACCCGCTGGCAACTCTCTATAACCCCTCAGGCTAAATCCCCAGGCTATTTGTTTATTCCTCTCTCTTTCTAGCTCTCTCTT